TTCATGACTTAAAATATTTTCATGAAATGAGGCATGCATGAGCATGTCATTAGCAATGCCTAAATAATGTAGACTCGTGAGGTCCATGCCATGAGTAACCATGTGATCATGCTATGATAATGTGTATAAACGAAAACATAACTGCATTAATAAAATTACCTTGCGAAATAATTTCAACCATCACAATACATGTCAAACACTAATATACCATCCAAACCATATAATTTCACAATCATTAACATTTTAACCATATACAACATTCATAACTCAAACACATTAAAAATTATTTAAAACCACAATTTTGCATAAAATTCAACAAAATAACTCATAATTCTACATTATCTTAAGCCAGGCCGAATTAGATACTAATTTAACCTAGTCTTTTTCTTTATTCTTTCACATCTATCTCATGCTCAATTCTTCTCAAATTACTTCTAATTTCATGCACTAACTTAACTAAGTATTACTTAAATAATTACAAGTATTAATCTCAATTTAGGCCTTAATGGGCCCAAATTCTAGCTTCACTATTATAAGTCAATTTTTAACATCTACTAAAATCTTTCATTCTTATTGATTTTATTATACTATCCTAAGACCAAACTCACCAATTTAAGGATTGAAGTCTAAATTAAACCAAACCCTTAATTTTTTTAGCTTAGGCCGAATTAGTTTAATTAATATTTATGGTACACTTTCATGTCTAAATCCGAATTGGGCCTTAGTGGGCTAAAATTAGGCCTAAGTCAAATTAAGTAATTTTCTTCAAATTTTTCTTTCCTACACATCAAATTGTACTTAGTACTAATTGACCAACAAATCATGAATTGCATGAATGAAACTCAAAACCTAAAAATTCAAGTTTAGGTTGAATGTAACCGTAGGAATTCCATGCATTTTCCTTAAATTAAAATGACGTTTTTCATTTCTAAACATAAATTCATACCCAATTAAGTCATAAACAAGCTCTAAAACAACAATTACATGTAAGGATAAAAAACCCCCAAATCTCCCCTTTAGGTCGAATGTTAACCCTTGAATAACTCTAGAAATTGTTAAGTTTCAAGCCTCAAATTCAAGCCCAATTAACATATTTTAACCTCAATTGTATGAATTATAAGCTCAATTTTAGTTCACTAAGAACCCTAACCTTAGTTTTTGAAATTAAAGCTAAAATTCACAAATTAAGGCACATAAGTCATAAGTTAACATCAATTAAACAACCCTTGTAATGTAGGTGGAGTTAAATTACCTAACTAAACTCCAATTAAACTTTAAAAAGTGATAATATTGAGCAATTCATCCTCCCTCTTCTCTTCACCAAATTCGACCTAACTTCCAAAATTTTCCCTTGAAAATTCTTGATGTCCTAACTGGATTTTCTTGCTTGATTAGTTGATTTAAGGTGTTTGGAGGTGATTTTAGTGGATTTTGGGTGCAATTTCCTAATGAAAATTTTCAAGACTTTCCTTTGGTTTTTGCTAATTTTCCTTCATTTTCTCTAATTTCTTGCAACCCTATTTATAGGAAAAAATTTGGTCGAATTTTGACCTCATCTTCACCATTGAATTGCTGTGTTTTAGAGTGATCTTAGCCCTTAAATTAACTTTTAATCCTAGCCCTTCAATTGGACAAGTTTTTAGCCTTTAATTTTTCTTTAATTCCTAACCCTCCATTTTGCATCCCTTTTAACCTTTTCTTTTTAAGTGAGTCAAAGCTCATTAATTAGCCCCTAATCATGTAGCAAACATTTAGCTGGAAGGGTAGAGAAGTTTCCAAAAATTTTCCTTAATTTTAGTCCCTCATTTTGCTATTCTTTTTTCTAATTACTCATCCAAGCATCCTTTAATTTTTCAATTGACCGCTTTAGGTCCTTCTCTTAAAGGTATCTTAACAACTTTTAAATTCCTTAGGTTCATAGCTAATTTAATTTAGAAATTTAAAATTTTAATTTTATGCAATTAGGTCCCTAATTTTTATGCAATTGGGTCTTTAATTCTAAAATTTAATTCTATACTTTTTCCAAAATTCAATTTCTCTTCAGAATAGATTTAAAATTTTATTAAAAGAATTTAATCATGATTTACATAATTTTTATGCCCTCATTTAGGCCTCCAAATTAATTATTTAGTGTAAAAATTACACTATTTCTTATAAGAAATATTCCTTATATGAAAAAAAATTAATTTAAATTTATTAGATACTCCTACACATCGTAAATGATTTTTTATATGTCTTTAAAAAAATTACTCATACTTTTTAAGTGTCTAATTTAATTATTCTACCTCTGAAACACTATTCTTACATATAAAAATTCAAATAAAATATTCACCACGTATAAGAAAATTCACACAATCACATAAAATAATTCAAAACCCCTCTAAAAAATATTCTAAGCAAACAAAAATATTTTTCATGCACATGAAACATGCTCCAAAGAATTATTTCAAGCAAAAACTATTATTCATGCATTGTAAAAATTAATAAAATATTCATTAAGCATAAAAAGACTATTTAAACTATTGTAAATATTCTCTCAAACCCTTAAGGGTTATTTTATTCCTTCAAAAAATTCCTCACATGTATTTAATATTTAATTTTGGTTTTAGTGGGTATCGACTATTACAACTTAGTACTTCATCTTTAGATATTCTTGTTAGGAAAAGTAATAGAGTCGGAAAAACTCCCTCCTATTTGTCCGAATATCATACTAGTTTGGCTATTGTACCTCACTCTCCACCTGTTTCCTATTCTACTCGCCTATCCCATTTATCATTTTATATCTTCTGCTAGGTTATCTTCATCACACACAACTTTTCTTCCTGTACTTATCTAACCTTGATGAACCACACACATTCCACCAAGCTATTCAATATGCTTACTTGGAGAGTCTGTTATGAAAGTTGAGCTTGATGCTTTTAAGTTGAATAATACATGGATAATTGTTTCTCTTCCTGTTAGGCATCACGAGTATAAGTTGTAAGTAGATTTATAAAATTAAACTTCATGCGGATGGTTCTATAAAAAAATATAAAGCCGGATTAATGGCTAAAGGCTATAATCGATAGGTTGAGTATGATTTTTAGGAGACTTTTCGTCCGGTCGTCAAGCAAACCACGGTTCAAGGCTAGTCATTATCACAAATAAATGTCAATAATGCCTTCCTTAATGGTGATTTGGAAGAGACAATTTATATTGATATTCCATTGAGATATCGAGTCGAGGAGGAGTATACACAACCTCGTTTGCTAACTTCATAAGTCCTTATATGGTCTAAAGTAGGCATCAAGGCGAGTGGAACTCTAAATTTACTAAAGCTTTGCTATCTTTTGGTTTCACTCAATCCAAGGTAGATTATTCCTTGTTCACCAAAAAGGTATCTACTGATGCTTTTCTTGCTTTACTTATCTATGTCGATGAATAGTGATTATAGGTAATTTTGATGTAGTCGTTAAAGAATTCAAGCAATTCTTACATTCTTAGTTCAAAATAAAAGATCCGGGAAAATTGAAGTATTCTTTAGGTGTTGAAGTTGTAAGGTTTGAAAAAGGGATTTCTTTATGTCAAAGGAATTATGTGTTTGTTAGTCGAATATGGTATGTTAGGTGCAAGACCAGTCTCAACTCTAATTGATCCTACTAAGAAACTTGTACAAACAAATTTTGATTTTCTTGAGAACCTTATTATATATTTGAAATTTCATATCTTGTTGGGAAACCGTTATATCCGAACTTCATTAGACCGGACATTTTGTTTGCCACTTAAGTTTTGTCACAATACATAGATAAGCCAACAAAACACATTTGCAACTAGCATCCGGGGTTTCTAAGGTATTTAAAATAATCTCCCGGTAAAGGTTTGATGTTCTCTTTTAAATTTGATAGTAAATTGGTAGCATATAGTGACAATGATTGGACTAGAAGGTTAGTGACTTGCTACTCCATTTTTCTTGGTAGTTCTTTTATTAGTTGGAAATCCAAGAAGTAGATTATGATGGCAAGAAGTTCAGTTGAGGATGAATATAGAGCCATGGCTATAACGTTTTGTCAAGTCATATGGTTACCGAATTTACTTGCGGGTTTGGATTTTAAACACAAGAAATTAGTTGCACTTAAATGTGATAACCGATCGGTAGTTTGTATAAGTCGGAATCTTGTGTTTTGTGAGAGGACAAAACATATTGAAATAGATTGCCATTTCATTAGGGAAAAAATCATTATAGGAGTCTTGAAGCTAAAATACTTCTCCTTTGTTAATCAAATGGTAGATATGTTTACAAAGCCTCTTCAACCTTCTCGGTTCCAATTTCTTACAAGTAAGATGAGTATGATTGACATCCATGATCCTCTTTAAAGGGAGTATTTGAAGGTAAAGTTTAGACATGTGGATGGCATATCATTAACAAACTAATTATGTAATTAGTTAGACAGCTAGAGGTTAGTTAGGCGAGTTAGTAGGTAGAAAACTTTAATTTTTCTTCTTGTAAATAAATAAGGCTAGCTCATTTCTCTCTATAATTTTTACGGAACTATAAACTTATAACCTCCGTAGCCAAGCTTTTGATTGAAATAAAAGAAGTAGCTAATTTTGCTTTCTTTCATAGAAATTATGTTGATTGTATAGAAACATTGTAACTTTTATGTTCATTATTAGGTTTAATGGTAAAAATTACTTCGTTCTATTACAATTTCATAGTTTTAGATATTTAGTATCAAATTATGTAATTTCAATTCTAATATTATTAATATGATTGAAATTACATAATCACCATTATTTGTAATTGTCAAATAAATTAACCATTATTCGAAATGCCAAAACAACGTCGTTTTGTGTATTCCGCTATTAGTTTTATTTTTGTAATAAAAAATAATTTTCTTAAAGAAATTAAAATGATAGTAAGATTCTATCGGGGTAGAGAGACGGTAAGAGAGTGAATTTGATTTTTCAATTCAATCATTTTATCCTAACAAAATCAAAACCAAATTCACTCTCTAGCCATAATGGGAGCCATCCATACCACCATATTAGCCAAGCTCTCCGGCAAAGGCCAGAAGCTTTATCACGAAGCTAGAAACATTATAGATCGGGTAAAAAAAAAAAAAAAATACAAATTTATTGTGTGATTCACTTAGTTCAAATATTAGAGCTAAAGTTGCTTAGTAGAATCTTTCTATGTTTTTATATCTGGGCATTTTGCTAATTTGAAGCCAAATTACGGACAATAGTCTAAACTCGGGTTGTTTTAGCATTTTTCGAGGAATCAAGAGCATTGCAAGTCTACTCGTCAACTTTGAAGGACTCTTAGAGGATGGGTTACAAGAGTGGATTTTCAAAAGGAATGGGATTAGGTGCAACTTTTTTTTTTCCGTTACTATGCTCTTCTTCTCTTGTATGAAGGTTATCTTATGAGAAATATTCCTATAGTGTGGCCTATGTGTCATGTTATATTTTAAATCTATAAGTGACAATTTAAAGGCTTAGAACCCTTGTGGATTCTAGTGGGGGGCCAAGCATATTCATGATGGATGGAGGTGTAAAATTAGGTTAAAGAAAGGATCTCTAGTCTAGCCATATAAATATTAAGTAAAGCCTGTGTTTTCGATCAACACGGAAAATCCTAAAGCATTGGCATCGACTAGAAGGCTCTCTCTCCTTGACGGCTCTAGTTTTTCTTCAACAATATCTTGAGCACTTAATCAGTCATGGTAGGAGGTATGTATCTAATTAATTTTTGTTGTGCTTATATGCTTAGGCATATTTAATTATCTTATATGTGGTATCAAAGCCTCTTTCTTGATATACTCGATTAGTGTTAATAGAAATTCATTAATTGCATTTATTGAGGACATATTATGATTATTTAATGGATGTGATATTAAGTATGTAATATGGGTATTTTAATTATATTATTTTTCTTTCTCACCAATCGGATGGTATTGCTACAAAAAAATCATATATCATGGTATGGTTATTTAATTGAAACCTTTAAATCAAATATAGATATAGCATATGCATGTATAAAGGATAAATTTGATGTAAAAAGTATCATGTGCTTATGTACTTAATTTCATAGTACACTTCTTTGCTTTTTTATTTTGAAAAATAAATCATGAGAATTATGATTTTATTAATATGTACATACATATATGGAAGATAGAAAATTTAGTTTCTTGAACTGATCCTCGGTGTATATTTCAAGTCAAATGTGGTGGCTCACATGCTATATTTTAATAATATTTTATTATCAATTCAAGTTAGACATGGTGTATTGTATATCAATTCAAGGTAACATGATACGTAATCGTTGGTATGCCATATTAAAAATATGTTTGTTTATATATAGTTGGGGTCCAAATTGATTGATGTATGCATGCATATCAAAATTATCTATACACAAACACTAAAATATGTGATTTATTTTGGTATGCAAATTTTCTATGAATTTTTTTTGTATGCATATATTTTGGGACATGCTAGTATAAATGATATGCAAAAAATAAAAATAAAAAAAATTGTTAATTACAATAGTAACCAAATAAATCATGATAAAGTTTATAAGGTCGAGCAAACGAGTTTGGTTAATAAAAAGCTGAATAAAATCGAACCGAACTCGTAAAATTTGGTTTGGCTTTAAATATAAAATTATATAATTTAAAGCCGAACAGACAAAATCTAAATTATTTTGGTTCGGTTTGGTTTTTGAAAAAAAAAATTTGGTTTCGAATGAAAATCAAAATGCAAAGTGAAAAAATCCTAATTTCTAAATCCCTAACCCTAAGTTAGGCAATTTTCATTCTTGCCTAAAGTCGAAACACGTAAGACAAGACGCATTCGCGGACTCACCTCTTTTTGTCTTTAGTCTTTCACTCTTTTCCTTTTCATTTACGCTAGGCCTTTGTTTTTACCTTTTTTTCCTTTCATATTCTATATTTCCCCATCTTTCTTCTCTTGCTTTGTTCTCATCGGGGAAAACGGGGCATCCGTGGTAAGTCGATCATTATTAGCTAGTGGATAAAGTAAAAACCAATACTCTATTTTTGCTTTCTCTTTGCTCCTTCTTGCTCGAGGTAACATGTCCACCATTACACTTCTTGCCTCTCAAATCTACATCTCTATATTGCAATAAACTAAATAATCACATGTTTTAGATACATACATACATACATACATATATATATAGAAAAAAGGTGGATACAAGCTCTCCTATTGGAGTTCTTGAAGACTACCATAGGAGCGAAGAATCGGAAAGTTGTTCTTCAAAAGAACCCATATCGGATGAGGCTACTTAAAAAGTTTCAAAGCTCACTTCTCATTGACAAGGATTTGTCAAATTACTTAGAAGCGGATCGAAGAATACTATAGGAATATTGCATCCTTTTAGTTTCCTAAAGCTCTCTATGAGAAAGAGCAATAGCATGAGACAAAGCATTATAACGAATCTCTTTTCTAATATTGATTCGGACAATTTGAAGTCTCCAAGGATCAAATTTGCACTCCCCGAGCTCCAAGTCGCAACCAATAATTTTAGCCAAGGTTTGTATTTTGTTGTGTGATGTTTTCCATTTCTTGTCCTTTCTTGTTTCCCTTCTAAGCATGATACTTAAGATGTACTTGGTTAGCAAACGTAATTGAATAGGAATAGATAAGATTGTTCAACCACACATGCAAAACACACCCTTGGAGTGTAAACATGCTCAATTTTTAGAAATGTGGTTGTATTTGTTTACGAAGTTTAGTTTTTTGTGTGTAGAATATCCGATTGGAAAAGGTGGTTATCGTTGAAGTTTACAAAGGGTGTTTGCAAAATGAGAAAATTATAACGATTAAACGGCTAACACGAGGAATAATCGATGAGATTATTGGGGACTTTTTATCCGTGATGGGGATTATGGCCCATGTGAACCATCCTAATATAGCTAAGTTGATTGGCTATGGAGTTGAAGGAGGAATTCACCTTGTTCTTGAATTGTCTCCACATGGGAGCTTAGCTTCGTGCTTTATGGTTAGTTCATGAATTCTAGATTCTCGGTTTTGAAAAGCTTTTCATTTTTTTTTCAAGTGCTAAATTTTATAGGTTCAAAAGAGAGATTGACATGGCATGTCGGGCATAAGGTTGCATTACGGACATCTTATGGTTTACTATATCTTCATAAAGGTTGTCGAAGAAGAATAATACATAGAGATATTAAGGTTGTTAACATTTTGCTTACGAGAGGAATTTGAGCCCTAGGTATCACTTATCGAGCAATAAATTTTTTAATTATTCTTACTTTCTTTTCCGGATTAATAATAACTAGTGTTTGTCGCTGAAAAAGAAACAATCTTAACTAAATTTTATTTTAGATTTGTGATTTTAATCTCGCTAGATAGCTACCGGAACATTGGACTCACCACACTCGTTTCTAAATTTTGTATCTACCTAGATGGTCTAATGGCAAACTTTGTATTTGCTTGTCTTGCATATGCTTTTTTTTTTTTTTGGTATACGTATCATGTAAATTATGTAAGTCAAACTTTTTTTATATTATTTTAACTATAATGGCAAAATGATTTATAGTAGGAACATATTTCATATTTGTACAACATAGTTGTGCCTCGTTTTTCCAATACTCTTTGGCTTTGTATCACCAAAGTTGGTTCTATGTTTAGGATTAGGATGAGAAAGAAAAGATTATTCCAAGTATAGATTCCAACCGGACTCACAATCAAAATCAACACTACATTTTGAGGCTAAGAAATTATTCATCTAGTCTAGGATAGGACCTTTTTTTTTGTAGCAAAAAATTTCAATTAAAGTGAGTTGTTTTAAAACCAAATCGAATTTATTTTGGTTCGATTTTGATTTTGATTTTTCCTAATTTGGTTAACTAAAAATTGAACTGAATTATGTATAACCGAACTCGTTTAATTGAATGATCACCCCTATAAGTGTACATGATTATTTAGGTATATCAATCTAAAGTTTTCAATTGATGTTAAAGCAATGCTATGTTGAGATGATGATGTCAATTAACGTAGGAATAACCACGAGCATCTTAAGTTATTTTGATGATCACATTAAATTTTATTAAATTAATATGCTCATAAAGTACATTGCTTAGTATGCAATTATTTTATAAAAATAATGACTTTATTCTACAAGGAGGTTGCTATTTTTATGATTTAATTGAAATAGGATAATAAATTCTTATTAAGAATGGATTTTATTCTAGGCCATCGGGTATGAATATTTTTATTCTTAATATTTTATTTATTAGTCTTATTATTAAAGAATTGATGAATTCTATGAATGATGCAACCTTTGCCCATATGAAGGTTAGAATTTACTATTAAATTAACATTGGTTAATTTAAATAAAGTATGTTTTCACGAGTATTAAAGTCTTTTCTTGGTTAGTGCAACTTTTTCTACTCGCTTTTATTGATACATCTAGTATTTCGATGCTATGTGGTCATAATTTTGCTAATTAGAAAGAAAATATTCTCTTTACAATAGGATGTGTAGATTTGGATTTGGCTTTATGTGTGGATCAACCACCCATCCCTACAGATTCAAGTGATGCACATGAAAAGACTAATTACGAGCGAGTGGGAGCGATCTAATTGCTTAAGTTTAATGCTCATAAAATCTCACATAAATAAGAGTATTAGGGGTTCAATCCCTAAATGCTTTAAGGAAAAAGATTTTCCGAAGGCCATAGAGGAATAAGTTGTTCATTCCGATAAGGCATAAGCTAGCACCTTGACGAAAAAGCTTTATGACAAGTCATTTGACTATTCTAAAGGTGTGTGTGAACACATTATGGAAATGAGGGACACCGTTGCTTAATTAAAGTTCTTAAATGTAGAGATTTCTGAATCATTCTTGGTGCATTTCATTTTGAACTCTCTCCATATGGAATATGATACGTTTAAGATTTCTTACAATATATATAAGAAAAAATGGTCAATTAATGAATTATTGACCTTGTGTGTTCAAGAAGAAGAGAGATTGAAACTTGAGAAACTTGAAAGTGCATATTTGTTTTCTTAAGCTAAGGGAAATTCCAAGAAGGGTAAAAATGTTCTAAAAGTGAAGAAACAATAAAATATGCCAATAAAGCAAAATGGCAATAATAATAAATATTTCTTCTACAAGAAATGGAGACACGTTAAGAAAGATTGCCATAAGTATAAAAAATGGCTCTTAAAGAAAGGTAAACTCATTTTTTTAGTATGTTAGGAATCTTTTTTTATTAAGACTCCTAGTTATACATGGTGGATTGATTCCGGTTCTACTATCCATATTGTGAATACCATACGGGGCTTTCGGACCTAAGGAAACCAAAAGGAAATAAAGAAGGCATCTATTCGGGAATTCAAATGCGCCCTAAAGTTGAAGTCGTGGGGACCTTTAGATTAATTTTAAAATCTGAATTTGTTTTCAATTTAGAAGACGTCTTTTATGTTCCCTCATTTTCTAGAAATTGGATTTCAGTTTCCAAACTCTGTAGTATTGGCTATGGATTTTTTTTAATAAAAATATTTTTAGTATTTTGAAAAAATAAAATTTATATTTATGGTGGAACATTAATTGGTGGTTTATATAAAATTGATCTAGACCTCACTTTTGAGCTCAACTATTTATCAATGCATGTTAATACGGATATTAAAAGGAGCAAAATTAATAAAAATGCATCCACATTATGGTATAGAAGATTAGGTCACATCTCCATTTGAAATAATTAAAAGATTGGTGAATGATAGAGTTTTAAACATTTTTTATTTTAATGATTTTGGTACTTATGTGGATTGCATAAAGGAAAAGCAAACTAAGAAGACCACTAAAGATGCCACAAGCGACTCAAAAATTTTAGAAATCATACAAACTAACATATGTGGACCGTTTAATACTCCTTATCTAAATGGTCGGAGATATTTTATCTCATTCATTTATGACCATTCTAGATTTATGTATCTCTATCTTTTATATGATAAGGCTGAAACACTTAATGCTTTTAAGACCTTTAAGTTTAAGGTAGAGAAACAAAAGGAAACGACCATCATGATTGTGAGGTCCGATAGACATGGAGAGTGTTGTGATAGGTACACTAAAAAAGGACAAATGCTAGATCCATTTATAATGTTTCTTGAAGGAGAGGGCACTATTACATAGTATGCAATGTCCGGCACACCATAACAAAATGGTATAACTAAAAGAAGGAACCATACTCTCATGGACATGGTGAGGAGTTTGCTTAATAATTCTAATTTACCATTATCCTTATGGAGTGAAGCACTAAAGATTGCTGTGTATATTATAAATATGGTTACATCTAAGAGTGTCTCTAAATTATTGAATGGATAAAAACCTAGTTTAAATCATACACATGTATGGGGTTGTCCTATTGAGGTAAGGATTTATAATCCTTAATTAAGGAAATTAGACCTTGGAACAATCAGTGGATATTTTATTGGTTATGTAGTAAACTCTAAAGGATATAGGTTTTATTCTCCTTCTCATAGTACAAGAATAGTAGAGGAAAAAAATGCTAAATTTCTTAAGGATTTTAACTTTAGTGGGAGTGATTTTCCTTGAAGAATAAAATTTGAGAAAACATAAGATTCAACTATGTTGCATAAAGATACAAGAAAATTGGTTATTGTTTAATAAAATCAATTAGATAATGTTGAACAACAACCAATTCTTGAGCAACAAGTTTAAGTGTAACTAGCTCTTAATGAGATAAACCCATATGAAGATGTTGAATTAAGAAGATCTTTAAGAATAAAGAGACCAAGAATTTCTAATGACTATTGATGAGTGCATAATGAAAATGACTTTTGTGCTATAATACATTGAACTTTTTAATGTTTAATGTATTATATTATGTTATTTAAGAATAAGATAACGATTTTGGGTTTCGTAAAAAAAAATGATGAATCAAAATAAGAAACTCGGAACCAAAGCAAGGAAGAGAGAAGTCACCAAAAGAGGTTTAAAAGAGTCACATGACCAGGTTACTTAAAAGAGGAAATCATGTGGAATCTCAAGCATAGCAAGCCATATGGGCGAGAAACATTTTCATATGGTTTTGTGCAACTCTACATGGCCGTGTGACATTGAAGAAGAAACTCCACATCGGTAGTGAGTTCTTTACATGATTTGCAATATCAAACCATACGTCGGTATGGCTAAGGAGAAGAAGATCTACACGGGTAGAAGCTTGACTACTCAATTTCTGAATAAATCCACATGATCGTGTGTCACCTAATCTCTAAGGTTCTAAATCATGTGATATCAAGTAGCA